TCTCCTCTCTGTCAACGCTCTCTGGTTTCATTTAAAAGAGTCGATCATCAGATATTGTCCAAGATTAACCTTCAGGGTGGATATAGCTCRCTAGCAGCCTCCCACCGAGGACCTATCCACGTCATCATTTACCCAGAATGCTCTGCGTGTAAATAAAATGGCCTCGTCCATTTAATATATTTTTAAACTTTTAGTTTAAAGATGATAAAAACTAAAACAGCCTACAGTATTTTTAGTCTTTATTTTACAGTTAAAATATGTTTATTAAATAAAGCCTAATGTTGCAGCTAATCGTGGATCCCTTTAAGACAGTAGTTGACTGAAGGAGGCAGTGGTTCTGCTCAAATCAAACCTCGTTAATCCACTCATAAATCAACTTTTATTCCAAACTAAGGTTGTTTAAAAAGCTATCTACAGCAGGTAAGATGATGACCTTTACAAGGTCTGAACTACAACGATCCAAATGTTCACATATTCACAGAAACCCTGTGGATTCAGAATGCTAGCATGGCTAACACAGGTTAGCTGTTAGCTGCTGTGTGTGTTTTTGCAGCTTGGAGCAAACGGCTCACCTGTTCAGTCAGCTGAGCTCGGAGCTCCTGCAGGACGGGATCAGTGTGGAGAACCTGTACCTGCTGCTGCAGGAGCTGAGGACGGCCGCCCTCAGACACGTGACGCTGCGCAGACTCTTCTGGAGGGTGAGACGTTAGAGTTTACATTAAAAAATAACCATAAATATCCTGAGGAAGACTGATGTGAGCCAGGTGGGTTTGTGTTCCCAGTCCAGCGAGGTGTGTCTCTTCCTGGTCCAGACCCTGGAGGACTGTCTTCAGGGCGGAGCCTCCACCACAGATCAGCTGCTGTAAGACCTGTGTGGGGATGCTCAGCAGGTTCATGAAGCTGTGAGGACTCTCAGAGTGTTTGTGTGTTCCTGCTGATCCTCAGACTGAGCTCTCTGATCGTCCAGACGCTCACCGTCACGCTCACCGAGACGCAGGGGGAAGAAACAACCACCAGCCTGCTGCTGGCCCAGAAGTACACATCACAACTTCCTGTCTGAGAATCAGAAACCTCAGTTATTTTACACAGTAAATGGTGTTTTTCTTCCTGCAGAGGCGCTCTGCTCTCCAGAATGCTGCTGGCTCTGATCTGTGATCCTCAGACAGACAGGCCGGGACCTCGGTCCGACCCCGAGGTCAGCTGATCTCTGCTMTTTGAATATTTGGGGACATATTGATGGAATCTGTGATAATCTCCTGCCTCGGTTCCCAGCAGCTCTCGGAGTATCTGGACGCCGCCTGCTCTCTTCTGTTTCAGCTGCTGCTTCTAGACCACCAGGTGGGTTCTGTTAGAACAAACCGTCTCTGTTAGAAACGAGCAATAAGAATAATTTGGATCAAACACATGCACTTTTTATCAGAGATGGGGACTCGTGACTTGGACTGTCGCACTTAAGTCCCTACTATTAGAGACTTAGACTTGACTTGCACTTGGACCCTTAAGACTTGAGACTTGACTTGGACTTGTGGTTTGAGACTCGTGAAAAATGCAAGTCTTTTCACTGCCCGGCTCATGGTTTTCACCCTCAGTACACCTCCATGCTCCGCTCCTTTCAGAACAAATATACATAAAGTTTTAGGAGCAAAGACATTTACTCCTGCTCTCAAACTGAAAATATACGCTCTTGATTAAAGTCTGAATAATTCTTCCATACACCTCGCTCCCCCTCACCTGAGAATGGGAGGGGCCAGCGCTGTCCAACGTTAATTACGTGTACCCTACGTGACAAACAGAGCTTCAGCATGGCAGGCGTTCAGTATAAGCTTTGCTTACAGAGACTTTATTCAACACCATAACAAGAGACAGGCAAAATGCAAACTGTGTGGAGTCCAAATCCAAAATTAATTTTTGTGATGACTTGTGCAGCCCTTTTACTTTAATGATTCTGGTTCATCTTCACTGACATGCGTTTATGCATTTAAAAAGATTTTTTCTGGTATTTTATTGTAAAATTAGCAGCAGATTTGTTGGATTTGTTCTTTGTTACTGAAAAGATATACTACAAGTGCAAAATACAGTTAACAATACTCTAAATGCTTGATTGTTATTTCAACCTTAACCTTTTCTGTATGTTTAAAAC